ATCGTTAGTTATTTCTGCCATCATATCAGTGTGTATCTAAATTATTTTCGTTTGCTCAAATAGTTACTTGTCTTATTTCTTAGTTCATTATATTATTAATATTGTTATTAGTGTACATACTATCAGTATTTGTATCAATTTGGCACATTTTTTTGTTTCAGAATTTGTAAAACTCAATAGATAAACTCAAACCTTGAAAATTCCGAGTTATTTTAAACAGATCCTTAACAATACTAAAATACTTTAAAAAATACGTGAACGTGGAACGAAATGATGATTTATCAGATCTTGGGGAAATAAGTAACCAGCAATGAACTCTCCCAGTAGGCGTTGAAGCAGTGCTGTTCGGGAGAATTGACTGAATCTTATTGTATTCTCTTACCTGTTTAGAATATGATCGTGCTTTGGGCTTATTAGGGGTCATGTTACAAAGCTGGTATTATTACCACTCATCTGTACTGATTCGTCACGAAAAGCATCTTTTTCGCAACTCTAATGTAGCTACATGGGTATTCTGTGCGTCTTTCCTATTTCATAAAGTTAGAACTAGACCAGTCTCCGTCGAAAATTCGAATTTTCAACACTTATTAAAAGGAATCTGTAGAAATTCCTGATTGCCTACAGCACATAGCATTAAAATTAAAAGAAAATGATATAAGATTGATGCGAATTAGCTTGAAGGTGTGAAGAATATGTACTCATACTTGTTTTAGTTAACTTTTTCTTAATTAATTCCACGGAAACTGTATAAAAAACATTAAGTGTTGATCCTGTACAGCTATTAAGGAATTGAAAGTGACAGAAATTCAATTATATTATGTGAAAAGAAGATCTATAAAATAAAAAAAAAAACTGAAGATATTTTGTGCAATAGGTCAGATAAGAAAATTGTCCTTTAATATTTCCATTATTGAAGAAACAAAAATATTAAAGGTTGATTGTTCTTTCTTTATGATTTCCATTTTATTGACCAAGTTGAGGAATGAGTGCATTTGTCGTATTTAAGAGGTCAAAAAGTAGATTTTAAAATACTCCGACAATACGTTCGATTTTGACTTGTGACGGAATGAATAGACCTTTTTAGTTTCTTCAGGAAAATAAGAAAAAAGAGAATCATGAATTTCGATCATATTACAAAAGTACCAAATAAAAACGATAAAAAAAATCGTTCTTTTCAAAGTAGCACCGGGAAGCAGAGAAAGGAAGCTATTTTGGGTAGTAAAAAATATAGCAAATGATTTAACGATTTGAAAATCTCTACTAAAAATGAAATGATCAATTTAGGTGTAAAATATTGCCAATATTGCTATTTTAGTGATAGTACAGTTAACGAATCTATAATGTTAATAGGAAAGCCGGATTCTCTATACATGTCTGTCTGTTAAAGGATCACGTATACACACACTTACATATTGATGTAAAAGGAAAGAACAGTGAGATTATTAATCCAAAGATCTTTAGTATTTGTTTTTTTTAAAACAGTACTCGATACAGTAGTAAAGCTAAAAATTATAATTTTTTTAAAATGATTCCGTCGCGACACAGAAATTACTGTTTCGGAACTGAAGCTAAAGACAAAAGTTTAATATCAAAATTAACCTTAAAATTTAGAGCACAGCTTCATTCTCAAGCGATGTTTAAGTTATTCTAAACATCGCTTGAGAATGAAGTTGTGCTCTAAATTATAAGTTTAATCTTGATATTAAACTTTTGTCTTGATTTTCAGTTTCGAAACAGTAATTTGAGTCGTAATGGAATAATATTTTTTTTTAAAATTATATATAATGTAGGTTTGTTTTAATTGTTTGGTTATACGTTCTTAAAATAATTGTCGGACTTTGTCCATTTCATAACGTATTATATATATATATATATATATATATATATATATATATATATATATATACATTGACCAACAAACACCGTTTTCCACGGAACAGATCGCAAAAGTATTATAGTCGTAATTACTGCCCACAATTTGGGTCGTCGAGAAATAATTAGGCAACCAGAGTGAAAAGTGGTATATCTGAACCATAACATACACATTGTACCTGAAATGTATCTTGCCTTCACTTTACAGCGTATCCCACTTTTATATATTAATTAATGTAAATAATGTGATCATTTAAGATGCAACGGTAGCAACAAGAAAATCCAATCAACGGTTGACTACATTTCGGATAGCGACTTTATGGTTGTTTTTTTTTTTGTTTTGTTTTACGCAAGGTGGGGTGGTGTCAATGTAAACTTTGGGAACCACTTTTGTAGACCAATAAATAGTGGAACTTACCAACTCTTGGTCAACTTCACAGATCATGAGAATGCGTTTGACAACGTCGACATTATGGTTGACATAATACTTGAGATGGTCATCACACTAATCCGCTGTACCTGTCAAACCCTAAACTTCAATGTTCCCAGGTGAACAGAAACTAGCATAGTTTCGTGATTCAATCTGGACTCCATCAATGCGTTTAATTTCATCTTTTCATGAAGACCACCACAGCAGTGAAATAACAGAATACAGGAGATAGCCTTATTACAAATGGATATCTTTGCCGATGACAGGACATTTAACACAACTGCTATCTGATGCAAGGTAAGACTGTTAACATCATCAGCAGGTACAAAGTTGAAAATAAGATAAATAACGGAACTTGCGTAAGTCGACACTACTCAAATATCTCCACTCGCTGCGGTTTGAGAACTTGTCAAAGAGGTCGACTTTTTGTGTGGCGGGAAATTGTGATTGATCAGAAACGTTGTACTAAGTGAGACGTCACTGACCATTTGGCAAAGTGTCAGCAGCGTTCTTGACGTTGAAGATCAAATAGACCTCCAGGGAAATCGGCATAATCACAGAAATGCGTTATCTTTATCTCTACAGTTAAATCGATCCTACATTACGATTCTGAGATTTGGAGACAAATCTTTTATAGCATAAAATTGCTGACAAATGTATTTTGTCGAGATGATGTAAATGATGAAAGTGATAGCGAGAAGTATGAATATGGAAATAGAGAAAGAAAGGAAAAAAATGAGAATATAACGATTTGGCTATTTAACACCTCAGTGCTTATAACCAGCTCTAAAATCACATAAAATAAAAAACAAAAAAAAATAGTCAGTACGTTGGACGGAAACTGTTAACATGGTTGTTTTCTTCAAAATGATTCAAAATAAATGGAATGGAAAAAAAATGTCTAATATTTACTGTCTGAAAACATGTAAAGAATATGGAGCTGATTTTCAAATTGGTTTGTTATATATACTGATTAAACCAGTGTATTGTATAAACAATTTAAAAATACGTTTATATATACGGCTATACGTTTTTGAAAACTAATATTACCGGCTATACGTTTTTGACAAAAAAAAATCCCATTACTAAAAAGAAAAAAAATTGTAAGCATTAAATGACCCGTTGAGGTTGACATGCCGTAAAACAAACCAAACTAAGTTAAACATGAAAAATTTCGTGTAGGTAAAATAACGTTTAAAGCAGAGGACGAGGTTAAAACTGAAAGGAAATAATGGAAGAAAAATAAGTGCAAATCTTAGAAAAAAAAACAGATAATGTAGGATAAAAATTAAAATCGACAGCGAGCTTGATTCGGGAGAGACTGAAAGAAAGAAGACAAGAGAGGAAAAGAGGACGAGAGAAAATGAAAGAGCGAAAAAAAAAGAAGCGATGCATCTCAGTATACATCGTCGATCTGTGCTGATGTTAATGCTTCACAGCAAACAAAAACAATATTTAATCACGAAACTCTCAGAAGGCAATGCGCAGAGGCAAAGGAATTAAGTTATCCACTTAATGATAACCTTGTCTCAGAATCAACAAAAGAATAATACAGATTCCAGGATGGTATCTATATAATCATTGGTCTTTCGGAGAAAATGAATACCGCAAAGTGAAACCATGCAATGAATCGAGGCCCTGGCCGTCACGAATAGTTAGGAGAAAAGAAATGCCAATATCTGTTGGCGTGGAATTTGGTTTGGAAGATGAGGAAACAGGCAACGTTGAATATTATCGGACGCATTCTTACTGGGGGATTTAAGTATTAAAATGTTCCAAAAACGGCAATTGCATCATTTTGATATATTTAAAGAAACGATTTGATATCTCCTTTGGCATGAAAGACTTTATCATATAAAATACATCTTTTATGAGATAATTCAACAAAGAAAGATTTTCTTTATAATGATAGAAAAATCAGCGGTATATTGCTGATACGATCGTGAAATATCAACTCTAGTTAAACGTTGTATATAAACAAGGCAATATTCATGTTAAAATGTCAGTATATATATATATATATATATATATATATATATATATATATATATATATATAATGAGGCAAGGTGGAGTAAAAAGATAGCGGCTCGGATTGAGGAATAAACTTACATGGATCCTTTTCAAGCTATAGGTAAATATAGACTGGGTTCTATAGCCTTGGATGGCAACTGGTCTCGAAGGACGAAATACTGAATACAAATCTGCGGAGTCGTTTGCACCAGGTTTCTGTACTTGGTTCTGCACAAATTCTTCACCACTATAATCAAATCATATGTGCAGGTGTTTGGCTGTCGGTTCGAAGGAATCCAGCACACACACACACACACACATATATATATATATATATATATATATATATATATATATACATGTCGGTAATCAATACTAATGCTGAAACATACAGCATTCATTGACTAAACAACGTTACTGTGAATATAAATTTTAAGCATTCTTTACGGCTTATCAACCGTTTGCTGATTATTTAAAATCAGAAAATATTTTAGATAGGAATAAACTTTTCAAATCAATGATTTACTGATGAGTCTTACCTATTCCATAGCAGAGGGAGGAAGGTGGGTTCATATCTTAAACGTATTTGGGCGTAAGTGAATATAATGAACCCGACTGGAATTGGAACTCCGTTCTTCCTTTAACAATTTCGTGTCATTATTTATTGCACCACACGTATATTTAAGCTTACAGCACCTGATATTCTCAAACGGTTACTCATCAAGGTACTTATCAGACTCGGCGTTACTTAACTTCAGTAATCGTACGAGAACCGGTGTTTCAACGTGATATCACCTTAAGTTAGGTACCTCCACGAAATCGCTATAAAAAAGAGCATAGCTTGATGAAAAATTTTATTGTCTAAATGCTTATGTTATTATTAAGAGGAAAGACGAAAGTTTTTTAAATTATTTTTAAAATTTTTTCCTTCTATTTAGAACATTCTAAATTTTGATTAAAAAAAACCTTGTTTCTATTTGTATCAGCGGAACTAGTAAATAACAGACAATTTTTAGCACGTTTTTTTGGTATGACACATTAATTTGAAAAATCGTGCAAAAATAGAAATAATTGTCGGATGTTAATGAAACTTTCAGCAACTATTCACAGATGATCGAAATTATTATGTTTTTTTTTTATTAACGTCATGGTAGAAATATTTTTTTAAAATATTTATTACCCCCCCCGGCCTGTAACTAATTTATGAAAACGCTAGAAATTCGATCGCATCGGTTTTAGTGATTACAATAATTAAAAGCACAGGGCTTTGAGGAATGCAAATCATGTTTTGTTTTTTTTTTGCTTTTGTTTTTTTTAATTGGAGCCAACGTACCTGAAAATCAGCTCTGAATTGTAACATACAAAACTCAATAAAACAAAGATATTATTTAATTTCAAATGCTTTTATTTGCTTTTAGTTGTTTTTATGAATATGGACAATATTTTCTGAAAGCAAAAAAAAAATTTTCGATGAAAAATTAATTTTTAATACAGTTATTTGTTATTTCTTTAATTATAATAGATTTTACATTTAAGTTGTTAAAATATTATAAAATTAGTTAAAAGCCGCATCGGCTTTCATAAGTGTCCTTATGAGATAGATCTTTAGCGCGTTGTAAATTGTATCATTTTGACTAATCAGATGTTCCACAGTAATTAAGGAATGTAATTTTGTGCTTATAACGGGGCTGTAATTATAAAGTACGGAAGACCACCAGAATATAGTTAAGTTGCGTTATTTGAGTTAAGCATTGTTCTCCGCTGTTAAGGCCTTTACTTTTGCGAAACACGTGTGGAGAAGGTAATTTGATTTTTCAATTTCAACCGAGAAGGGTACCTACAAGTATCAGTATCATTTTATGAAATAGCAAAATTAATAATAAAATGAATGCAAATACAAATAACAGTAAAATGTAATAAATGTACATAAAATTATAGTATTTTATGTACAGTTCTGATAAAATTTCATAAGAAAGGTACCTATAAATTAATTAGATACATTTCTTAAGAAATATGAAATTTAATGTCACTCTTAACGGTCGTATTTTAATTTATTTATAATATATTTTACATAAAGCATCATAAACGTAAAGGTGAAAGCTAAGTACAAAAAAAAATATATACCGCTGAAAGTTTTCGTTAAAAATAACGAGGTAAATAATTTGTTCACTTAAATGCAAATTTTCACTTTTCTCCTTCCGTAGAACAAATTAGCCTCATGGAATTCGTAAATATGTCATTCATCACCTGTCAAGAGACGCGAAAGTTTATGACCTGCTTTGTTTTATTTTCAAATTACATCTTTTTGGTACAAAAGCTAAGTTTGGTTCAAAATATTTTAAATAAACATAATTTCTGATTTTCTTAAAATAAGTTTTGAAAAAATGATAATTGATATTTAAAAGAATTTCAAAGTGAGATTTCCAGTTTTTTTTTTTTTTTAAATGGAAAAAAATGGTCAATTTTGGTGACTCAAAAAAAAACTAGATTTTTAACGAAAATTTCGGCCGTGCTAGGAACGATTAAAAATGGAAAAAAATACCCCAAAAATACTTTGCTCTTTCCTCTTAATAATAACAAACATTTAGACGATAAAATTGTTTTTCGTCAAGTTTGGCGTCTTTTTCATCATGCTATACTTTTTTTTTTTTTTTTTTTTTTTAGCGATCTCGTGGAGGTACTTACCTTAAGTTAATGGAACATTTAAAGAGTTCTTCAGGAATACCGGTTTCTCAAGTAAGCTGTTATTGCTCTTTCTAGCACTGATTAGGGTTTACTTGACCTTTTCTTTAAGCGAGTGTCGAAATCGACGTCTTGGTGCCAATCTCTTCTAGTTTCATGTTCTAATTTATCTACTACGGTTGAAAGTCTTCAAGTGATGTGGTTGCTGCAATTTGGTAATGTTCTTTGGTTTAAGAAGCACCTCTTCTACGAGGTCCGACGAGTAACTGTCCTCTTTAATACGCACATGACTCATTTGCTTGTGATATTTTTAATCATTGATCTGAGAAATCGGTTGTTTACAGATGATAGCTATTTCTGAAGAAGTTGTATGCTATGCATGGCATCCATATGGGAGTCTATAATATACAAGACTATTTAAGAAAATATCGTGAGTTCTTACGGTATATTTTGGTTTAGTAGCTTCTTACTGTTTTGGGCGAAACTTCACCTAGGGCATCCGATTCTGCGTCCAATGCTCCTATATCCGATAGTACGTCTGGCGTAACCGATTCATACACTGGCGTATTTTTGTTGTTTAGTATTTATTTCCACGTCTTGAATTTGTATGATAGTTTCATCATTGCTTTCACTTCAATTCCAGAAAATAATCTGTTTTGGAAATGTTTTTCTTAAGCCTTGGAACAAAAAGTCTTCATTTTAACTTTACAATGTAAGAAACCTAATGAATAAAAAAAATAATTACTTAAAGCAATTATTTTAAGGTAATCTCATCCTTTCTAATACATTTAATTTGCTGGTTAACTTTAACCTTACAAATATAACATACATAAAAATATCTTGGTTACAGTTGATCTAAAACCTGCGTATGATGTTTTGGGTTCGCCATTTTGTATTTCTTGAATATATGCCATATTCAGGGACTGATCTATATTCGTAAAATATATCGCGATATTTAATTTTGCTGAGGATGAGTAGCTATTAGAATAGCCCTGGATAAGACGATAAACTATGTCCGACAGCAAGGCCTCTGACCAAGAGGCTTTAAGGAACAGGGAACCGCCTCTTAATTGCTGTTTTTCCCAGGTCCACGCTGACCCAGGGTGGTAGCACCTGTTAGGGTCTCAGCTATGGGCAAATAGTTAATCCTTAAACTGGGGTCAAAACGTGAAAGTGTAAAAATAAGTTTTAATACCAATTAAAAATATATATATATATATATATATATATATATTACCTACAATACATTTTTGGAAAAATATTACCAGTAATAAAAACTTTGTAGGCATGAAATAACCCATTGAGGCTAATATGCCTTAAAACAAACCATACCAAAGCTATTAGAAATAAGAAAACTAATACTACCATGTATGGTATCCGGTCAATTGCCTGACGGAAATTGTCTTATATATATATATATATATATATATATATATATATATATATATATATTGTTGTGTGTGCAGAATATTTAGATGTTTTTGCTGTCATTTGAAGAAGAAAGTAACATAGTATTATTTCAGTGCAATGCGAGTTTTCTGCGTGTTGCACATTGAAAAATACAGCCTATTATTTGAAGTGAGAGACATTTTGATTCTTCACTGGCAATTGTTTATGGTACTAAAAGTTTCAATAGCTTTCATCCTTTGATATATTCTTTGATTTCATTGTTTGATTTCATTGTTTGTTATAATAATAATAATGTTAACAATAATAAAAATAACGCAAATAATAAAAATAATCTTAAATATTAAGAAATTAATAATGAAACTAATAATGATTTTAAATAAAAATAACAATTTTTGAAGACTTATGGCATCATTTTTCGGTCTCAAAAATATCTTGTATCCGACAAATAGTAAACTTCATCTCTATGAGAAGGGGTATGGATCGGTTAACTATTATCCTTAACTTTCCCTTTCGAATAACAAGTACAAAATACGAGGATATGTAAGTTATATAAAAATAAAAAAAAAAGCCACATTAGGGGTGCTTATTGTGAACAGCTACAAAAACTATTCAAAAAGTTAACGTTTCATAGGTCGATTTCAATTGCGAAATGACTACTCACCACAAACATGCGACAATTTGATACTAACATTCGGCGATTGCGACCCCATAAGGATGTCAAATACAATCGTATGCACCTAACAATACTTACAAATGTAAAATAAAATAAGAATTATCATTAAAACTACAATATTTTTTCTGTTTAAAACCATTCTTTTTTTTTTCTTTTTTTTTTTCTTTTTTTGTGAAAAAGCTATTGACAGATTCGGTAGATTACACATTTTATCGAACAAAAACAGGTTAATTTGTCTGCACAGTAGGCATAATCTAGGTATTTCTTTTCTTTTTAGAATAGGACTGATCGGAAATTACAGCTCGAGTAGGAAACGACGGCAGTAATGTAATTGGAGAGGTACAATTTATAGGGTTTGATTACTAAACAAGGGATGCATAATATGCGTGAGTAGAAGGATTTTCCCACGCTTTCAGCACACTTTTTAGGGTGCGAATTATGGATGGTGGAGTATTATACATAGGGACTTACGGTAATGGCTGTAGGGATTAAAGAAGAATTCCTTCAGGAATATGTCCCATAAAGCAACAGCTCTTCAGAATTTGAATGAGCCTACCTTCTAACATACGGAATACGATGATAACGAGACTGCTTCGATCCTCTGTGTATGACATGACATGTCCTAGTTATAACGTTGTAAATTGGTAGAATTATTAATTCGTCAAAACATTTTCCATGGAAGTATCGACGGAGTAAAAAAGAGTTCTGCGATTTTTTCGTATGTTGAAAAGAGGTTGTAGAGTAAAACAACAGATTCTATATTCATACACAGAAATAACAAACACCCGATTCTAATGTTGTAGATATTAGAATCATTTCTAAGTGAATCTTTTGTGAACAACATCGGTATTTAGGTTTTGTTTAGAATTCGTGTGAACGATGATTTCTGTGAAGAATTAAGTTATTATGCTCTGTTCAGCAGTTTTTTCGATACCATCAACTGTTCCCTTATTCGACTGAATAAAAAATTTAGACAAACAATGCTGTAAAATGTCTAAGTGCATGCAAATTTTAAACCAATTTTAAAACC